ATACTGGTGCGAAAAACATGTTTTGGCTTGGCAAATCTTCAGCATTAGTAATTTATGACATAGTGTCTACTATTGAAGGATGTCGGCAAGTACCCATCCACGAATTTTTAGAACAACCGCATCAGTACGACGACACACAGTTCTCTTATAACATTACCTTTCTGCACTTTCCATATCGTGTCTTCCCAATAAACCCCAACCTACCCTTTTTTTTCTTTTCACATATAGTAGAGCGCAATGTCATGGACCTAGTTTTGTTAAACCCGAACAACTAGAACCATGCAGCCTTAACATTTGGCAATTCCCGTCCCTCACGAGAAAACGTTAAGTCAGCATTTTCACGCTCACAAATAATTTAACCAATGAGGCTAAATTATAACTATTTTGAGAAGAGAATTTTGGAAGTAAGAAATATATGAAAAATAAGTAAGGTTGGGGAAACTTTCGTTATATAAATGAAAGGGAAAACTTTATAATCTCTGTAATGTAAAAAACTCACTTCACTCTACATGATTTACAAATGAGACTTCCGTCTCTATTTATAGGCAAAATCTTGCAAGTTGCATTGAAATCAATGGCCAAGATTAATTTGATCAAAAGGTCCCCATTGGTGGCAAATCACAAATTGTCTTAAACCTCTTTTGATCAAGTTGCATCTAACTTTCCAACTCATGCTAGTTGGTATCAAGTAGATATTCTCTACAAATTTCTTTACTAGTGGATATGTCATTTTCATAGTGCCAACTTGAACTTAGCTTGCATCTTGATATTTTCTTACAAGTGACACAAGTTGGCCAAATTGCCCACTTGCTTCCCCAAAAATATTTGGCTGCATGCCCGTGTCTTTTTCCTCTTGAAATGACTAGTTAGGACTTAGAAAAACCTCATTTTTCGTGCTGGAAAGTTGACTGCTTCAGGTAACCTGCGTTCTACCCAAAACAGGTTGCCTGCGTCCTTGGCCGAATCTGCCTACATCCCTTGCCGCAAGCTATTCCATCCTGCTGAGGTGTGCTGCCCGCGCTGTTTTGCTGCCACTGTCAAGATGGATCGACCGCGACCGTGGGGACATAAGTCACTCTCCCGCCGAATCTGGCGACGCCTTCGTTGTCATGTAGTATCGAAGCTAGGATCAAATTGCCATGGATCTCCTTCATTCTTCCAAGTAGCTTCGGACTCGGGCAATTCTCCATTTGATTAAGTAATAGGTGCAAGGGGAACACCCCTCCGTCTCACCATGTGATCCGCCAAAATGGATTCAACATTACTCTCAAAAGATTTTGTGACGATGGGAGGTGCCCTTTTTGATTTGTTTCTCCCCGGATCTTCCAAGTCCGGCCTATATGGTTTCAACACGCTCACATGAAAAATCGGGTGGATCTTTAAAGTGCTTTGAAGATCTAGCCGCAGGAAATTCTTCCAACCTTAGCTATGAGGGGAAACAGACCTCCATAGTTTCTAATCAAACCTTTATGAACTTTGCGGTAGGCTTTGTATTGTTGAAGCAGCACTTTCATAAGTACTTGATCTCTAATGTTAAACTCCAATGGTCTTCGTCTCTCTTCAGCCCATTCCTTCATCCGCTTCTGGGCTTTCTCCAAGCAAGAGCTAGCTAAGTCTGCATGATCTCCCCATGACTTAGTCATTTTTATTGCTCTTGGACTTCGGCTTGTAGATCACCAACCATAGGTAAAGTGTGGGGCATTGTAGGTTGTCGCCCCGTTGCAAGCTCGAACGGACTATGTCCGGTGGATTCACTTCTCTGCAAGTTGTAGGCAAACTGAGCTATGTCCATCAACTTCGCCCAATCCCACTGATTAGCACTAATAAAGTGCCGAAGATAACACTCCAACAATGCTTTCACTCGTTCCGTTTGCCCATCCGTCTGTGGGTAAAAACTAGAAAAGTGCAAATCCAATTCAAGAAGTTTAAACAAATCCGTCCACAATCCCGATCACTTACAATATGTTTAGGCGGTTCCCAATACTTCACAACATGTTTGAAAAATAATATTGCTGTCTCCTCCGCGGTGCAATCCTTAGGGGCCGGAATGAAAGTAACAAATTTTGAAAACCAATCAACAACAACAATTATTGATCCGAACCCTTCAGACTTTGGCAAGGCACTAATGAAATCCATGGTAACCACTTCCCATGGTTGATCCGGAACAGGAAGAAGATCAAGAAGTCCCACCAGTAATTTGTTCTCCACTTTGTCTTGTTGAGACACAAGACATGTTCGGACGTATGTCTCAACTTGATCCCTCATTTGCGGCTAATAATATGCTTGTTCAATCAAAGCCAATGTCCAATCTATCCCAGGATGTCCAACTCACTTGGTGTCATGGCATTCCCGAACCACGTCGCGTTGTAAATTTTTCCACTTAGGCACAAATACCTGTTGCTCAGTGGTGTATAGCAACCCATTGTCAATCCAAAATCGCCTTGTTTTGAACTTCAAGGCTTTTGTTGAAATTCGGCAATGCCAACACGGCTCCGACATGACCGCCACCTTTAAATCATCAATAGCTTTTTGACATTTTATGGTCCAATCCCATCCTTGAGACTTTTTGGGCAAGTCCGTCAATAGGGCCGCTCTAGATGAGTAACTTTTAATGAAACGTCGGTAATAATTCACCAATCCAAGGAAAGACCGTAACTCCGTCACTTAAGTGGGCGGCTTCCACTCATTGATTGCTTTTACTTTAGCTCCATCCATGCGTAACTGACCATGTTCGATGATATACCCAAGAAATTCACCTCTTCTTTGGCAAACGAATATTTCTCCTTTTTGATGAACTAACTCATTTTCCCGCAACACTTGGAAGATAATTTTCAAGTGCTCAACATGTTCATCCAATGTGTTGCTATATATAACAATATCATCAAGATAGACCACCACGATCTTATCCAAATATGGATAAAATATCTTGTTCATCAAGGTGCAAAATGTGTGGCCGGAGCATTTGTCAAATCGAATGACATGACAAGCCATTCATAAGAACGATACCGAGTAATGCAAGTAGTTTTAGGCTCATCTCCCTCCGCAATTTGAACTTGATAATAGCCTTTTCGCAAATCAACCTTTGTTTAGAATTTAGTGCTACCAAGCTGATTAAATAAATCCGCAATCAATGGACGACAAACACGGGCATTAGTTGATACCGGAGCCACACATAATTTCATCATAGAGGATAAAGCACGAAGGCTTGGATTGAACATTCGCCATGGAGTTGGATTGTTGAAGACGGTGAATGCAACCGCAAGGTCGTTGGCAAGCGTAGTTTGAGGAGCGGAACTACGGTTGGGTTCGTGGCACGGATTCGTTGATATTTTTGTCGCACCAATGGATGATTTCAAGCTAGTGTTGGGCTTAGATTTCTTGAGGAAGGTAAATGCAATTCCTATGCCTTCCTTTGGCTCTATGTGTATTTTGGAGAAAGGATCATCATGTATGGTTTCTATTGTTTTCATGGGGAGGGTGACTTATGTCCCCCAAGGTTGTGGCCGATCCACCCCGACAACGGTCGCAAAATAGCGTAGGCAGCGCGTTTCAGAAGGGATGGAACAGTTTGTGGCAGGGGGCGTAGGCAGATTCAGACAGCAGATAGAGGCAAATTTAGGCAGGGGATGCAGACAGATTCGATTGGGGACGCAGGTAGCCTGTTTTGGGCAGAACGCAGGCTGCCTGAAGAAGTCAACTTTTCAGCATAAAAATGAGGTTTTTCTAATTCCTAACTAGTTGTTTCGGGAGGAAAAAGACATGGGCCTGCAGCCGGATATTTTTGGGGAAGCAAATGGGCAATTTGGCCAACTTGCACAACTTGTCCAGTTGTGCAACTCATGCCACTTTTAAAATAATATCAAGATGCAAACTAAGTTCAAGTTGGCATTATAAAAATGACATATTCATTTGCAAAGAAATTTGTAGAGAATATCCACTTGATGCCAACTAGCATTAGTTGGAAAGTTGAATATAACTTGATCAAAGGAGGTTTAAGACAACTTGCCACCAATGGAGACCCCTGGATCAAATTAATCTTGGTTATTGATTTCAAGGCAACTTAGAAGGTTTTGCCTATAAATAGAGATGAAAGTCTCATTTGTAAATCATGTAGAGTGAAGTGAGTTTTATAGAGTTTTATACATTTGAGAGATTGTAAAGTTTTCCTTTCATTTATATAAAGAAAGTTTCCCCAACCTTATTTTTCATATATTCCTTACTTCAAAATTCTCTTCTCAAATGGTTATAATTTAGCCTCATTAGTTAAATTATTTGTGAGCGTGGAAATGATGACTTAACATTTTCTCGTGAGGGATAGGAATTGCCGAACGTTAAGGCCGCACGGTTTTAGTTTTTCGAGTGTTACAATACAAGGTCTGTGACAAGTGGTACCAGAGCTTCGTTTGTAGGCCGTTATAATGTTAGATAAACTATTGATATTGAGATTGAGGAGATGGGTCGGGGTGCTGCCCCAATTGAAGTAAAGAAAACGCGAGGCAAAAGTAAGGTTGGGGAAACTTTCTTTATATAAATGTATAAAACTCACTTCACTGTACATGATTTACAGATGAAACTTCAATCTCAATTTATAGGCAAAACCTTGTAGGTTGCCTTAAAATCAATGGCCAAGACTAATTTGATCCAAGGGTCCCCATTGGTGGCAAATTATCTTAAACTTCCTTTGATCAAGTTGCATTTAACTTTCCAACTCATGTTAGTGGGCATGAAGTGGATATTCTCTACAAGTGGATATGTCATTTTCATAGTGTCAACTTGAACTTAGCTTGCATCTTGATATTATCTTGCAAGTGGCACAAGTTGAACAAGACAGGTTGTGCAAGTTGGCCACTTGCTTCCCCAAAAATATCCGACTGTAGGCCCGTGTCTTTTTCCTTGGAAACAGCTAGTTAGGATTTAGAAAAACCTCATTTTTCTGTTGGAAAGTTGACTACTTCAGGCAGCCTGCGTCCCCTGCCGCAAGTTGAAGCATGCTGTTTCGCGGCCGCTGCCAGGACGAATTGGCCACTACCATGGGTGACGTAAGTGCAAGCTCCAACTCAGCTTTTTTACTTTTACCACTTTCTATTTGAGAATGCAAGGAGCCTCACATCTTTTAGTAATATCTTTAATGTGTAGAGAAAACATTAGAGCGGTTGTGCAAGTTGGCCACTTGCTTCCCCAAAAATATCCGACTGTAGGCCCGTGTCTTTTTCCTTGGAAACAGCTAGTTAGGATTTAGAAAAACCTCATTTTTCTGTTGGAAAGTTGACTACTTCAGGCAGCCTGCGTCCCCTGCCGCAAGTTGAAGCATGCTGTTTCGCGGCCGCTGCCAGGACGAATTGGCCACTACCATGGGTGACGTAAGTGCAAGCTCCAACTCAGCTTTTTTACTTTTACCACTTTCTATTTGAGAATGCAAGGAGCCTCACATCTTTTAGTAATATCTTTAATGTGTAGAGAAAACATTAGAGCAATAATCTCTGTAAGCATCTGTAAAACAAAAGATAAAGTTATTATTCTGGTACTTTTAGTGTATGTATAACTGTTAAATATATAACCATGTGATCATTCTAAAATGCCTACAGACTAGATGAAAATGCATATAATTGAGTATTTTGGCTAATCAAAGTGAGAAATATGCAGAAATAACTATTCGCATTAGACTCTGGAACATAATCCTTCTGAGTAATTAAGTGAACTTAGCTTTGAGAGAGATGTAAACAAAAAAGTTATATTTGGATATTTTACTCCATATACTCAATTCTTTGATGCATTGACAATGTGTGTTATATCTTTTAGTTAAATGACTATTTGTGTCATCTTACAAACAGTATTAGTTATTTGAGTTGTCCAGCTTTTATATGCAATGCCAAAAAGGGTAAAACTGTACCTTGTGAATCGAATCTTCAATTTCTCTCTGCTACTAATTCATTGCAAGCCTGAGCCATATTTCATTGCATCTTTAGGTTTTCCTTAGTAATTTTTCCATATCCTTGTATCTTGATACGATACTTATGCCACCCCACTCAGCAGTTGTCTCTGGATATAGAAGTTCAGTGTCTCAAGCTTTTAGATGTGTTATGTCTTCCAATGGAGTTTGAGTTGATGCTCATTAATGCGACATTCAACCTTCTAATTCATATTCAGTCACGAGGCTTCTACTTCTACAAAGATCTTTTCTTTTTTTAAGTAGCTAAAATGATAGTTGCAACATTACATTTTGCAATAGAAGTCAATAAACATGTAATGTGCTGATGTTGGCTTGATATCATGTCTGTCTGATTTTCTTCTTCTGATGGGATTTTTCTTTGATATTAGTCAGAGTTAAATAGACCTGAAATAATACTCCAATATTAATGGAGAAAATTCTCCCAACAATTCCGTGCTTTTTTTTCCTTGGTGCAAGTGCAGCCTTTGGCAGCTACATAATGCAGGTTTCTATTTCCGTAAGGCTACGTTTGGCACACCAAATTAGACTGAACTAGAAATTATATATAAAATTAGAGGAGTTTAGGTTGATAGTATTAGGGTGGATTAAGATGGATTGTATTGTATTTATACGTTTTCGTTCAAAAGTTGCTATTTATACTCTCTCTCTTCCGGCCTAAACCCACTTTTTCATTTTGTGTTATGTTATCCAGTTAGACAAGTAACATGGTGCAAAAAATATTCTTTTGACTAAAATAAATACTGTCCAACTTAATTCATGTAATATATAATTAGTACATCTACTCTAATTTTATACTCAATTGCTTATACTGTAGTTTAATTTGGTAGTGTCGGTTGGCCAAAATGGCAAACTTAAAATTTCACAATGGGTTCAGCTTTCATAGAAAAAAAACTGCTCTAAGCAAGGAGTTTCTTGTCATGCCAGGTTAATCTGGTTGCAAACATGATACAAGTTTTTTGGATTAAGGGGTCTGGATTATAGACAATAGGTAGAATTGTAATATTCACGCATTATAGAGAACCTTTCGGTCGATGTAACATAATCCCTACTGGCCAACACTCTTCCATGCTTTGGGATTTTGATTTATTCTTACATTGTCTCTTTGATTACATGCTGGTATGGATCTTGCTGATTTCATTTCGAGTAAATAGTTCCAAATTAATGGTTAATTATCTTATAGGGTGTATGATCAAATGCCCGAGCCGAGGTGGGTCATATCTATGGGAAGCTGTGCAAACGGTGGTGGCTACTACCACTACTCATATTCTGTTGTCCGAGGTTGCGACAGGATCGTCCCGGTTGACATATATGTTCCTGGTTGCCCACCAACTGCAGAGGCCCTTCTTTATGGTCTTCTCCAGCTGCAGAAGAAGATCAACAGGCGCAAGGATCTCCTCCACTGGTGGACCAAGTGAAGACAGTTACTTTTTTTGGCAACATGTTTGTGGGAAATAAATTAAGCTTATTAGAGTTCGGCCCTGGCCTCCCCAATAATCCTGACCATTACCTGCATGATCCATTTTTATGTTCACTGGATTATACTGGTGGATTTTGTTTGTGTGTGGATTAAATGAGAATTATCAATATTTGGGTTCCTCTTGGTTGATTGTTTCTTGAGCAATATACGGGTTTGAGAAGAAAATTAAAGTCATACTCGATATAGTTATGTCTAAACTTTCTGTACATCTCTGGTATTTTACTATTTTGACAAGAATAATGCTATATAACCCAATGCTATGTAGCTCAATTACCGTTAAAACATCAACCATGATAAATTCAATTAAACATGGCGTTATAGGATCATATTTAATTAAAGAATAATATTATTTATCTGGAGTGTTGACCATCAATTGTTTGGACAAGCATCACGTAGACGAATGTTTATTACGAATTAGACTTGCTCTTTTGACGATGCAAGAAGGATTTGAAGAGTTGATGATAAGCATAAACTTGAAGACTATTAGCATTGTTAAATATATATTGCGACTCAATTTAAGATTGGACACAAATTAGGACTTGTCTTGGAGTTTTCAAATATTATAATTAGATTCCATTTGGATTTCATTATTTCAAATTATAATGAAATGAATCGATTTTTTTTAAAAAATGTGTGATTAAAAAGAAAGAACAAGTTTTATATTTACGTGTAATATTATTTTATTGGAGGATATGTGATTGAAAAGAAGAGAGGAAATATTTTTAATTTAATAACAACCAAACTGGGGTTAGGGTTTGTTTGATAAAATTTTTACTTCTTGTAAAAAGAGTTTAGATTAGCTTCCTCTAAAACTTTTTTAGCAAAATAAAACACTTTGAAAAATTTGTTTAAACGTGTTAAAAAATATTTATTGAGTTGCAAAAATATTTTTTAACTCTTCAAAAGCACCATCTAGTCAAATGAGCCCCTAGAAGTATGATCTTTACAATTAATCTACTTGTACAAAGTAGGTAGATAGAATTTGTTGATAAAATAGGTGTTGACAAGATATAGGCCGTTGATTTATTTTGATTTCAAAATATAATTTTGAAATGAGTGATAATAGATATTGCCTTTTAACTTTTTTAAGTCTCTTATCATATCTATATTGTCCTACCCACACTAAAACACTCTGCCATTTATGTAGGAAAGTTTTGCAAATAGTTTCTTTATTTCTCGAGCTTATTTATCACTTTGAAACTTTAAGAATTAAGCTAGTTGTAAAATTGATTTGACGCTTTTTGATGTGTCATAATCGAGGTCATTGATTTGAATAAGTGCTAATAAAATAAATTGTAAAATTGTGTGCATGTCAAATAGTGTAAACAAAGCTATCAATTATTATGCAAGTGTAACAAAATTAAACTTTTAGTAGTCAATGTTGTGTGTAACCGAATTTTTTTCGAATAATAAATTTTTCAACATGAATCATGCTGCATGTACATAATAGTTGACAAATAAATTTACTGATTTGAGTTGGGTAGGTTTTGGTACATTAATCTTGACAATGTCTTTTCCAATCAACTACCAAATTTTTGACATATAGAAGAGTATCAATTAAGGTGTACACTTTGTATGTACAAATAATTTAATCCAACGTAAAAATGGCCAATTAAGAGAAAAGTAGTATTCTTTGATTATATATATAATCAAATCATCTTCTCAAGTTAAAATCCCCCTTTAAACCCAAAAAACTTGTAAATAAACATTTATAACAAGGTTTATATAAAAATTAGATTTTAAATGGATTTTGATAAAAATGGATAAAATGTATGGTTGAAAAATAATGCATCCTATAAAAAGTGTAATTAAAATTAATTATCAATTTTAATTTAGATTCTAATAAGATTTGTAGTTAAATCAAATTGGATGAAAAGATATTATTTAAAAAAAAAGGAAAAAATCATTATTGGTTGACCGACGACTATAAGAAGGAAGCTCCTCTCCAGTAATCCTTTTCACATTATCAAGGGCTAAATTCGTCAATAGTCATATGACTTTGTATTTAGTGTCATTATAACTGCTCGATTTGATTTTGTTTCATCATAGTTATCCAACTTTATATTTAATGTCACAGTGATCACCAAATTTAATTATATATCAACATGACAATCCAATTCATAAAACGTTTTATCATGACAACTCAATTTTATATAATGTTTCAATTTTCACTATAATTCTCCAACTTCTTTCATCCCTTTACACTAATTTTAAAAGGAAAAAAATAGTAACTTTGCATTATATGAATAAAGTTTAAAAAGGCAAAAAAAAATAATTTTTGCTTAAAAAAATATAATAAAACAAAAACTTATTTAAATAAATGAAAATGGTGAAAAAAAGTTGGGTAGCCACAGTGAAACGTTATATGAAATTGTGTGGTTATAGTGAAATATTTTATGAAATTAGATAATCATAGTAAAATAAGATTAAAATACTAAATATAAAATTGGATGACCATAAATAAATAAAATCAAATTAGACTTGGATGGCGGTGGATATAACCCCATTATCACGAATCTTCACTCTTCGGTGTTAGGGTTTTCGCACAAAACTTTATCCAATACGGAGAATCTCTGTTCAGATCTGCGAAAATGGCAGAAGAGTTGTACGCAAGGGGAGTAGGCGAATCGAACAAGCGCAAGTACGAGGACCACAAGACTTCGCCAGCGATAGGAGTGCGGAGGCCGACGGGCTTCTCTTCGCCTCCGCCCCCATCGTACAACAGCGTTCCGCCTCCAATGAACGAGATCGAGTTGGCCAAGCAGAAGGCTCAGGAGATTGCCGCCAGACTCCTTAACAGTTCTGATCCTACCAAAAGAGCCAGAGTTGAGAATGGAGCTGGTGGAGGCTTTGATTCCAACGATCAGAGTATGAATTTTCTCATTTTCTCCTGATTCACATGCTAATGAATTTTTTCGTGTGATATATTTGATGTCTTATTTGTCTATCTATGTTTTGTATTTAGCGATTTGCGCACCCTAGTGAAAATCATTATATTTTTTCAAACACAGCATATATTCAAGTTTAGCGTAAGTATATAGATGCTCGTGCTAGGAACCAAGAGGCTAAATGGCGATGGGCTAATGCAGTAATTAAAGTTACCCAATGTATCACTAGGCCACACGTGCTTAGAACATTCACTCAACATAAATTTATCATTGCACGCAATTATAATATGTAGCTTTGTTTGGATGTGTTTGGCTTTTGGCATGTATACATAAGTTTTTAGATTTGATCATTATCCTTTTGTCTTAAATTTTGATCAGTATATTTCCTTGTTTACAAACAATCTGACACCTCTCTGCTCAATTCATTTAGTAAACCATGTTCACAATTAGGCTGATTTAAATTTCATTGTTGTGTGACTTGAGGCTAAAATTAGTAAATGTTGTCTGAAATGAATGATGCTATGTTCCTTAGCTGCTGCAATATTTTATAGCAGGTTTTTTGCAAAAGCCCGTGGGTTTGGGTCTTAGTTTTCCCCCACAAGTTGCATCATATGGTTATCCAGGAGGACCAGGACAGAGTAAGAAAATCGAGATACCAAATGGCAGGGTAGGTGTGATTATTGGCAAAGGAGGTGAGACAATTCGGTACCTTCAGGTTCAGTCTGGCGCAAAGATTCAAGTCACTAGAGACATGGATGCGGATCATAATTCTGCTACCAGAGATGTTGAGCTCATGGGTACTCCTGACCAAATAGAAAAGGCTGAGCAGTTGATAAATGATGTTCTTGCTGAGGTACTGAGTGTAGTTATTAGACTTCTTGATACGGTTGCAATTAAGACTGTTGAAGCACTGTGAATTTCTGAAGTGGTCATCTTAAATATGTTTTAATCAATTTACATTCACAATTCTTAACATGGGCTTGACTTGATGATCTGCATTACAGTGGTGAAAGCACTTGGAGAATAGTGCAATTGAACTACTTATCTTTTACAAGGTGCTTTCTCGTGTTATACGTGTTAATGTTTTTCGTTTATTACGAGACAGGCTGATGCAGGTGGTTCTGGCGCAGTTTCCCGGCAGTTCGGAGTGTCTTCTGGGCAGTTCGGAGTGTCTTCTGGATCAGAACAGTTTGTAATGAAGATCGCTAACAATAAGGTTATATACTAGTTAGTGTTGGTTGAATATTAGATGAGCGTTCTATCGATACAGTCTTAATATAATTGATGCCATTTTCAGGTTGGCCTTGTCATTGGTAAAGGAGGTGAAACCATTAAAAATATGCAAGCTAGATCTGGGGCTCGAATTCAGGTGGGCTAGAAACATTTATACTATTATATAGTGTAAATTTCTCAGGAACTTTATTTCTTTGCTTTTGTCAATTATTTTGGCAATAAAAGATTGCACTATAGTGTTATGATATAAATGAACTTCTCCTAAACATTTCAGGTGATACCCCTGCACTTGCCACCAGGTGATACATCTACAGAAAGGACCTTACAAATTGATGGCACCAGTGAACAGATTGAAATTGCAAAACAGTTAGTCAATGAAGTCAGCAGTGAGGTTTGTTCAGTAGTTGCCTGGTCTTGCGCAGCTTTTTTTAATCTGCTTCAATGTGTTGTGTTACTCATGAAAAGAAAAGTAGGCACTGGTCTTTTACCTTTTAAGTCTATTCCAACACGTAAGTTCCATTTTCCAGGAACACTAGCCGGTCTTGGTTTTAAGCAGGCTACGCAATTAATATAGTTTATATTAACCATGTTCTTTAGATCAATAAATTTGTGATGTTATGTCATAAGTTTTATTGTATTGTAGTATCTAGAAATTGTTATATTTGCTTTAATTTGTGATATCTTGTATTTAGATTTATATGAAATGAATTGATACCTGATGATTACTCATGCCAGACCTGTTCCATTTGTTTATCGTCTGTAATACTATTCCTGGGGCGAGAACATTTTCAATCATGTGTGATACTTATTGAGATGATCGAGGTTTTCGAAATCGTGGACCGACATATACAATAATGGATTCATTTCAAGACTGGGATTATCATACTTGCTGTTTTGCATTCATTCATCGTTGTTGTAATTCACATTTATTTTTTGATGCCTCGATATTAATAACATCTAATAGCTAGCAGTGTGTTTCCCATTAGGTATGAATCTGGGGGGATAACTTCCCATAAGTTTTATTTTGGTACAGATGTTCCTTTCTGGCTCTTTATTTGTGAAATACTGTTGGTTAGTATCCTGCCTCGGCTAGTTTTGATATGGATTTGTGCCTAGTAGAAAATATAAATAGTTTATTCCCGGATCTAACTGCTCAATTATGTTTTTGAGAGATATTTCCCATTAGTTGATATATGATATATGGCCGTTCATATGCCTTCCTGTATGGCATTTGTGAGTATAGATTTGCAGATACTGTTGCTATTCTTATCTGCGTACAGATTGATTGATTTGGAAATGATCTGTGAATGAAGAAGAATGGCATTTGCAAGTGGGTGAAGAACTCTTTGATAGTGTTATACACGTGCTTACTTTCTAGTTGCAATGCAGCACTTGGATATTACAGTTTTTTTTTGTACTATAGTGTTTCAACTCGATCCATTTTGGTCAAATATACTCTTCCATAATTGCTTCCGCAAGGAATGTTGTCTTCTTCCCTCCACATTTTGTCTTCAATTAGTTTCCTAAAGTCAGTTGGTCAGATAGTTATTATGAGTGCTGAGGATTGGTCTTTGAAGATATTATCTTATCCTTTTATTGATTTATTGGATTTTCCGATATTTGGTTTTGTATGAGGCAGGTTTTGCAAGGTGCTCCCTCCACTGAGGTAACTGAGGCAGTGTAATATATTTCCCGTAGTGTTGAAGATGAGTCTGAAATTATAGCAATTTTTAGGTAAATGCTCAAGCGAAAAATCTCTGGAACTGCAGCCAGTACGCTGATTTAATTTTGTATTTGATAATTGATATTGCAATTGGAACTATTGTAGAAGCTATAAGAGTATATCAGACAATTGGTCACACCAACATGGAACAATTCAATGTTGGTGTTTCCTAGGCATTGTTCTGGTATGGCTCTGAAATCTGATTTATTAGTAATTACTTGGATATCTCGTCGAAAGGACAAGGACCCACTATTGATGGAAACTTAAAGATTAGGCTTTCAAGATTAGATGGAGAGGTAAAACTAATTGTAGTAGTGCCTAATACAGCTTGTTATACATTTTGTGAGCGTTCATATGGCCACTCCATTCTCTCTCTAGTCTCGAAAATTCTTTTCATCTCTTGTGATGGTACAAATCCTGTCCAGTTTACAAATAATTTAGCAATTGGCCAGAATTAGAGTACAAGTTTTAGCTCGGGTTGCTAATAACTTTTATATATTTTTTAATTCTATCTTAATGCTACAACTAGTTTCTTAATGATACTTGTGTCAGAATGTATACTGTCTCTTCGTTTTTAACAGTTTTACATCACATGCCATGGGGACTTTAATTTTGTTTTTAATATTATAGAATTCGTATAGTTTCTTGGAAATTTCTTTTGTACCCTTTTCACTTCGAATAGGGAGAGGATGGGCTTCTGCAGGAGTAATCTGATTATACAACCCAACCAGTACGGTATGTAGGCGTCTGATCATGTCTTAATGTAACTCTGCCATGTATATTGTGCTTAGCATTGTGACATTTGGTGTGCTTGTGATATATTGTGTATTTTGTCATGTTCTATCTGGCCATCTGTTTTTCTCCTTTTTCTGATGTTATGCTTTATCCTTTAGTACTTTTTCCATATGAATGTGATGAGGCGTTCTTGTTTCATTTTGGGATAACAATTTGGTGCAGAATCGCCTCAGAAATCCAGCTATGAGCGGGGGATATCCTCAGCAAGGTTATCAAGCTCGACCTCCAGCAAATTGGGGTCAGCCAGGTCCACCAATGCAACAACCTGGTTATGGCTATGTTCAACCTGGTGCGTATCCAGGTCCATCTCCCCAGTACAATCTGAATCAACCACCTTATGCTGGTTATCCGCCTCAACCCACCTCTGGTGGATATGCCACGGCCTGGGACCAAACAACTGCTCCACCAAATCAGCCGCCTGCTCAAGAAGGTGGCTATGATTACTACAGCCAGCAACCACCTCCACAACAGCAAGCTCCTGGAGGTTCTGGTCCTCCTATGGACAGTACTGCTTATGGTTACAATCAGCCACCAGCTTACAATAAAGGACAAGTTTACCCACAAGATAGCTATGGTGGATATTATGGAGCCGCCCCACAGTCTGGTTATGGTCAGCCTCCGGCAAATCCCGCCCCAGGCTATGATCAGCAGCAACCGGGCTATAATGCTACCTATAGTAATGTTTCCAATCCAACACCTGATGGGCACACGCCAACATACGGAACCCAGGGTGATGCCAATCAAGCACCTGCCGCTGGTCAGCCTAACCCTAACCCCAATTATGCACCTCAAGGATCAACCCAGCCAACTTATGGGGAACTCCCAACTTCACAGGGTGGTTTTGGAACCCAACCGCTTGCCAGTTATGGACCGCCGCAGGTTCAAAAACCTCCAACGGGCCAGCCAGCTTACGGGCAGCAACCTCAGCAGTCGCCTAGTTCTCAAGGAGGTTACGTTCAACCCGGCTATCCTCATTCTCAGCCTCCACCTGCTCAAACGGCTTACTCTCAGACGGATTCTGGTCAGCGACCCCCGTCATCAACTTACCCAACAACCCAGGCAGGGTATGGTCCTCCAACCTACGGTACACCACAACTGACTCAACTTAGCTACGGTCAACAACAGCCACCACCATATAACAGTTCTTATGGTGGTGGGTATTCCCAGCCTCCAGCTTACCCAGCTGATGGCTCAACGGGTGGTAGTGCAGTCGGGAGTTATGATGCAGCACCTACTTCTCAAATTGCCCAGCAACCTAGTCAGGCTCCCAAAGCTTCGCCCCCTGCCTAATGTGTGTGGATTATACGTTAGCATTTCAAACTTGGTCGTAAATTTGAGTGAATGTTTTGGGTCTGTTTGAGTTTAGTAGTACCAGGTGTCGAACTGTTAGGGTGACTTTTCGGTTATGGTTGCCTTTGTGATTTGTTTTATTTTTGTTGAATCGTGAAGTCAATGGTTGGTTTGATAGATGTTGCTTAAAGTTTCGAAAGCAGTTTTTTTACTTAAAAATTTATTTACGCGTGGCACGACGAGTGCTCTTAAGGCCTCCAGGGTCAGATAATATGAGAGAACTGTGCAATGAAAACAAATCAACTAAAAGAAAATTTGTTATTAGCTCCAATTGGAGGATCCAATAAAATGATAAATCAACTTTGATTATTTTGTGGAGAGTGGTGAGTCGACTATTTTCCTCAGGGTTGTAATAATGGTAAAGAAACTTATTCATAGATTGTGAAATGAAATGAAATGAGAGGTTAAAATTCTTATCAAACTTCATTTTCTTTGTTCTGACAAAATATTTCACAACGTGTGTGGACAGTTCAAATTTCAATAGATAGCTCTCGATTTTTTGATCGAAAAAGGATGTCGTTGAATACTTGTAGGTGCACTATTTTTGTATTTTATGGTGGGGTTGTAACTTTCTATAAATTTTTCCTTGTCACCTAACAATGGAACTGTCTTTTTTTTTTTTTAGATCGACGAATCAAATGATATTTTTTTTCTTTTTTGAGAGAAATTATAAATAAGTACTGGATAAGCAAGTAATGATTGTATATCTTACAAATATGTAGTTAAATTAAAGTTTAATTTTGACATTTTAATTATAATAGATTACTAGTAAATCCAAACAAGTACGTGAACAAACGAGAAGCTCAAAACGGGAACAAGTTAGTACTTGATTGGCCCCCAGTGCACATCTCCAAGTGGTAAAAGGGAAGGGTGGAGAAATTGAGTTTTGCTTGAGGTTGCCGCGTCAAGGGTTCGAATTCTGAAATATGGATTTGACTCTTGAGTAAGTACAAGTATACAAACAGCCTTATACCCTGTACCTTTGGAGGCATAAGTTACGATTTACCTCCCTCACGATACTCCAAGGTAAGGGCGGTGGGAGAGCCTTAAGTTTGGGGTTCAACGTTTAAGTTAGTACGTGATTGTGTTCACTGTACACACCGCGTCATAAATAACAGAACGGTGACCAAACGTGAAACCGATTAATATTTCTCTGTAAAACCCTACTTTCTCTCCCTCTCTCTCAAAGTTGATTCAATCAGAGGTAATCAAATTCGGCCTTATGTGTTTATTATACGCATGTGTTATGGCTTTCTTGTAACTAGTTATCATATAACGATAGTTCACGCTTCTTTTGCTTCATAATGTGTTAAATTATGTGATTTTTTTTGTTGAGGTTTAATTTATTCCTGTTTGGGGCTTTGAATTGGTTTCTGCTCGAGGTAATTGAGAGAGATGGGATTGTTTATATTTCGATTTCTGTTCTTTGCTTCGTATGTGGATTAATACTGCTTCGGAAAAAAAAATTATGATACATTTTGGAAAAATCGAACTTTATAGAAGAGAAATTCAATTTCATTTTGTGTATGTCAGATCATTAATTAGCATCCAGATTTAATTTCGAATTACATCTCTTTTGAGTTTTTGCGCGTTTCCATGTCCTTTAAGACCTCGAGGAATGGACGAATTCCTTTTCTTTGAGTACTAAATTCTATGTACATATTTGCTTTATAACCGTCCGTGCTTAATGGTGATTTTCTACGGTATAATGTAGGATTCAACAATGGCATCAAAACTTCATCAAATGCAAGCAAAGGCTACACAAGTTTCCAACCATATGCTGAAGAATGGAAGTGCTCACTATAAGCAATTGATAGAGAAGAACAAGCAACATATTCGGGATCCTCCAACAGTGGAAACCTGCCAGAATTTGGCTAAGCAGCTCTTTTATACTCGCCTTGCCAGGTTTTCCTTTTAGCTCAGCAATATATTGTTCTAGAATTTTTTGTTTGCCATTCGTAAGTTGATTGTCAAATGGTCGTATCTAGTGTCATTCTCATCAATTGATATTGATTTCGATTATGTATGATTGGTAGGTTAGTGAGTAATCAAGGATTTAGAGCATATTTCACTGAGGTTTTACAAATTAATTTTCATTTTGAGAAGAAAAGTCTTTACCTACTCTTCGAAAAAGTACTTTTAAGCATAGCCGAATAGGATTTATTGCTTTTTTGGACAGGCATAACGATAAATAAACAGATGTGCTTCAAAGTGATGACTTTTTGGGTAACCAGTATTGTCAAGACAAGCCCAGAAATTGCAATTTGATTTTGACAATAAACTAAGCCAAACATGCTGTCGAAACGACTCATTACTTTTCCTTGGGCTTGGCTAAAAACACATGCGTATTCTCATTCTTATTCGCCTCACTTGTAACAGCATTCCTGTTCGTTATGAAGCCTTCTGGAAGGAACTTGATTATTTCAAGCACTTGTTGAAGCATAGGCATGAGCTGAAGATCGAGGATGCTGGCATTGCTGCCCTTTTTGGGTTAGAATGTTTTGCCTGGTTTTGTGCTGGAGAGATAACTGGAAGAGGATTTACACTGACTGGTTATCACGTCTAGTGTACGAGTCCAACGTTCCTCGAGATAAGTTGTTTATTACCTGAAAATCTTTTGAAATTCTTGTGGTTTTGCTGTATTTAGAACACTCCAACAAGGCCTTTAAATTTTGTGGTGGAGCATGAATGAGGATTTCACTAAGCTCTGGATTATTTTCTAAGAACCCAAGTTTGCAAACCGCAAATGGAGTAAAAAATTGACTTGGGAACCCTATTGTTCGAGTAACAAGTTGGTCCTCAAATAGTAGAGAATGCAATAGTTAAAATTGTGGTATCTTTTTTCACTTCGAAAAAACCAATTCACAAAGTTGGAAAGACATAATATCAGGATTTTGCTTATTTCTTTTATGAAGATTCTTACATTTCTTCACAAGCCAGGCAATGGAAATCCAACTGTCAAAGCCTCAACTCTTTTCCGCAGATTTGACACCCTGTCTATCGATATGAAGTCTGGAGATGGCACAAATTTCATAAAATCTTGGGGCTTAGAGCCTGAGGACAACTTTTTCGTTTCTAGAGTAATTTGAACACCCTCGTGAGCTGAAACGAATTCTTTTTCACCAAAACCTTGGGTAGTCATAGTAGGTAATCCTATACGTATGCCACCAAGTTCTGGTGATAAAAAATTCATTTCAGTTGCCAACTCTATTCACGAGGGCGTTCAAATTCCTCTAGAAACAAAAAAGTCCGTCTCAGGCTCTAAGCTCCAAGATTACACGAGTCACTAGCCTAGTCAAAGCTTTTTATTGAGGGTTATGGATGCCATATCAAGAATTTTCTCCACTCTAGGAACATCAATGGACTCAGGAAAATCGGCCAAGAGCATATTTGGCTAAACTGATATACTTGCTTTCAGAAAACACTTTGAACTAACGTCTGGCAAAAATGGTAACTTCAAAAGAAGTTCGAGAGCGCTTGGAAAAAAGTTACTTAAAAGTAACTATTAAGCTTAGGAATGATCTTCGGCAAAACTCTCAAATTAATACAATGCTTGGTCAAAGCATCTGTACAACTTTAAAATAAAAGAAAGAAACGCACCAAGGCTTGTCTCTTTACTATTTTAGGCAAATGACGCTACTCGAGTAGAGCTGGGTTCTTTATTGGGGATTAGTTTTCACTTTTAAAGTACTTTTGGTTGTCAATATTTTTCATGCAAAATGTGTTTTTTTCACTTAAATTTCTACGTTTGTCTTGTTTAGTCACCATTTTTTTCCATGAAAAATATTTTTTTACTTTTGATCACGTGACCATATTTTTTAAAATCAAGAAAAATATTTTCTTTAAGGAGGGTAGAAATTTATTTTTCAGGAAATTTACTCTCTCTCTCATCTATACATCCTCTTTCATTTATCCATCAATAAAAAATGGATAACTATAATATTTTTTAGGTTGAAAATTAAATCAATCGAACACATTTAATTGATAATTTTCATGCAAATAAATTATAGACAATTGAATTATTTAGAGTTTATTTTTTATTATGCTTGTATTCAAACACACCCTTAGAGTTAAATGATAATTATTGGCGCAAATTAACTTAACCATGGTTTAGTAACTAAACCAAGTCAAGTTAATCACATGGCCCACTGCACCGAATAGCAGGATTAAAATATTGAAAAAAGGTAACGGCGCAGATGCATGAAAGTAAAATTCAGGGTTAATTCACTTATGGCAACTGAACTTTGCACTTCCTATTTATCTTGGCCATTAAACTTCTAACTTTAGATTTTTATTCAAATTTACTAATTTTTTCATTCAAACCACCAATTCGATTCAATGTCCGTTTTGACGATTTGATTAAAAATCCTAATAGTTTGACGATTTGGATCATGATCGCATTAAAATTTAAGTTAGACTAAACAATGATAAAATTAATCTTACAATATAGATTTAAAAACATTTTTAAAAGATTCTCTATTTTAAAGAGCATATTATATCATTTAGAGAATATTTATAAATTTAATGAGTTAAAAATTTGAAGTACTCTAACAATCTTTTTATATTTAACACTTCATTTTACTACTCCCCAAAAATATTTATTATTTTTTTAATCTTTTAATTTAACAAAATTTTCTTTAGATTATTTTATTATTTTTCTAGATTAAAAATTGAAGCGCGTTGAATGCATTTAATTATAGAAGATCAGTCAAACATATTTTCTAAATTACAATGTTAATTTAAAGAGTTTTTTGGAGCATGATTTTAAGGATTTACTCTTTAAAATTGAAAGCATCTTATATTTAAAGAATCTCTTAGAGGTGTTCTAATGACATGTTTGGGTATCAATAAAATTAAGCCAAAATGATATATTTGGGTACACGCATTGAATAATTTTGAAGAGTTATAATAATATATTTTTATAATTGGCTAAGACTTCCGTGTCCTCTCGATTCAATAAGTGAGACAAATGAATATCATTACTACAATGCTAAAAAATAAAAATAATATATAGTACACATATCGAGTAGCCTTCAATCTTCTTTGTAAAACACACCAAGTACGACAAATTTACATGTTTGGCCCTTTACCTCCTATAGCAAATAAACCGAGAAAAATGTAGACCGTTTGATATTATTATAAAAGGTTGGGAAGCTTCTGTATTTTTATTTTATCCGATCCGCGGAGAAGAAGGAAGATCACTGTCTCTCTTCATCTCTATGAATTTTCTATTATATTTGATAATTTGAAAAAATAGGGAAGATCGTTGTTTCTCTTCATCTTTCCAAGAAAATCTGGTGAGTGGAAATGCAGTGAATTATTCATCATCGGATTATTTAAATTCTTGGAACGATTGACTGTTCTGCGATTGTGGAGTTTAATTATCGAATTCTAATTTCTAAGTGTAATATGTGTTTGTTATTTGAATTACAGGAACAATTTCAAGCGTATTGAAGTTTGATTTCTCTAGCGGATTCGTGAAAATTTGTACTTCGATAGGATTCTATGAATAAGCTTTGAGCACCGAGGTGTATGATTGCAACTGAAGTTCCATTTTGCAGGCTTACATTGGATAATGTGTAGTTAGCACTTTTTTAATTTGATTTCTTCATATTTCACTGACAAGTCTCTATGTAAAAGAATTGCTGTAAATTCATAGTGATAATACCCCAGATGTTAAGTCTCCATCTACTGATTTACAATTTCATTTTTGTACGATTTGAACAGTTTACTGATGAAATTTTGGGGTTCTGTTTTTGCAGATTCCGGCGGGAGTTCGTCTGAAAATTACTGGTACATTATTTTATAATTTTGGAAAACCGAATCTCAACTAATAACCCCCAAATGATGCATTTATCTTCACTTATTTTCAAGTTTAGCAGATATTTCCTCTAAATATTTACTTTAATTGGCGAAACAGAAGCTAGAGATGGAATTGAATAATCAATCAATAAATGGAGATGGACTGTTTTTGAGATCCGAAGAGGCGAGATCACCTTCTACGACGTCGCCCGACTTCGTGTTGCAGTGGGGGAACCGGAAGCGGATACGGGGCATGAAGTCCCAGATCAAAGACAGAAACGGTAAAAACGGCTTAGCAGGTTTGGCTCAGGTTCAAAGGACTAGTGCCCGGGTCGATCGGCGGGTCGTTAGATCGGATAATAATGATAAGGATTCAAATTCGATTCAGCACAATGATAGTATTAACGGCGTTAATGGATATTCGAATCTCCGTCAGCGCCTGGCTGCTCTATCTCCATCTCATCGAATTTTGAGGTAATTTCAATTTTCTAATTTATGTGGCGTTTTTCACAATGTGGTGCAACGAGGCTGTGAATGGGTGTATTGGAAATACCTGGGGAAATTTACGCCCCAAACAGCCCATTATATTTTTTAATTAAAAAAAAAGGAGTTTTGAAAATGGGAGGTTAAAAAGTTTTTTAAAAAATGTGTGCTTAAAAAGTTAAGAAAAAATTTTAAATTTACATCTAAAATATTTTATTGTGTGAATGAGTAGTTAAAAATAATTTTTTAGCAAAAAAGATTTTTAATTACATATTTTCAATGTATCTCTACATTGAATAATAGTTTAAACAGTAATAATTCATATTTGTTAATAACAAAACACGTTAAATATGGACATATTGAAAATTAAATAATCAACTATACTCTTAATAAAAAAAGTAACTTATAATGTGAAACAAATAAAAAAGGTAAATCGATCTTTATTGGACGATGATAGTATTTATAACCAATTAAAAATTCTCCCTCTTTTGTTCTCTCAAATTAGTTTGTTTTCTTGGTTTTCTTGATCTCTGAAGAAATATACCTAATAGCAGTCCATCAACCCATGTATGTCTTTTAAGATTCAATTTTCCGATGTCACGATGTGCTAGGTCAATTAAATTCCCAATATTATAGAATACTCTAACAGTATATAAATGGAATTTTTATTCTCTCTCTCCTACTCCTTCTCATGAAATGATTGACTTTGTATTCTTTGAGTCTTGAAAAGTGGGCCACGTGTGTCCTCAATTTCGTTCTTCTTAAATAGAGCTCAAAGTACAAAAAAATTTAATAAAATGTGTATCAATGGTGATGTAACAAAATGCGATTGTATTGTTTTTTCCCCTCTCTTTTTTTACTATCTTCCAATGATGCGATTTCATTTGTTTTCTGTAAGGATTATCTATTAGAAAATTTTGTATATGTAACATGATTGTCAAAGTATTACCGTTAGACTGTAAAACATTAGGACGCAGGACACGTATTGTAAATCTGTAGGGAATTCTATCCGACGGCCCAAGTTTTGCCACAAACCAATGTGACCTTTCTCCCATACATTATTGTTCTTTCCTCTCTGCCCCCACCCAACTGCTCAAATATCTTGATAATTAAAACCCTCCCTTAACAATTTCCCTACTTTCTAAGCTAGCCTACAAGGCTATTTTGGTAAGTTCCTTTCTTACTTGGGTAAAATTCTAATTTTTTTTTCCATGTCATTAATTACGATTCATGGTTTTTATTGGTTTTTATGTTTGTATTTGTACCTTGAAGGTGTTATTAGAATTAATATTGTACGTATTCTTTATTCTTGCTCTTTTGTGTCAATTTGTAATGATTTATGTTCATTGTGCCCTTTTGAATTTTAGGAATTTGGAGAGTTCAATTGGCATGAGGGAACAAAGCAACGGTAAGAAGAAGAAGTCATCCCCGAACAGAGGCGAAGGTGGGAATGACAAGAAACTTACTGCCAGTAATAATAACAGCCACCGCTATCACCACCAGAATAACAATGACAACCACCGTCTCTGTAGTGGCAGTGGTGGGTCAGCATCATCAGAGACGGCGGCAGAAGGGAAAAAAGGCGGATCATCCTCCGGAAGCGATGGGATTCCAGCAGTGTGGCCGCCTAAGTTTGTGATTGCCTTGACAAACCAGGAAAAAGAAGAGGATTTCATGGCCATTAAAGGATCTAAGCTTCCTCAAAGACCAAAGAAACGTGCCAAGTTTATTCAGCGCAGCCTCAATGTAAGTTTTTTCATCCTTAATGGTATTTTTATACTTCATTCTCTATGGTCGTACTCGATTGTTAATTCATTTATTTGGTGTAGTATGCTAACTAGTCTTGCCAAGTGGGTAATTGGAATCTGCCATTAAGGAATCTGTGTTGATTAATCATTACAAACATGTTATCGTAAATGAATATTACCGTGCCTAGTAAGAAGTATTTGCTTCATTCCTTAAGAATTTGAATTTAAGATTTTAGATGAGTGGTTGACCTAGTACGAGAAACACATGTTTTGATCTACTTTGACATTCTTTCCTTTGATTTAATTTTTTTCTCATACTTATTTTCATCCACATTTCACACAATAAAATATTTTATGCATATTCTCAATATTGTTTCCTACTTTTTAATCACAAATTTTCAAAAAAAAAAATGTTATACAAAACTATGATTTTAAAATTTTAGGGATGTCAAACAATGGCTTTGTGTTAAGTTAAAGTACTTGGTAGGGATTTTGTTAATTGACTTTTTTACTGTTAAAAATAAAGTGAGTCCTACGCATGAGAGTAGAATTCAAAAATGACGGTTAGAATAGTAAAATAATGATAAAAAAAATTGATGTTAATTGGATTAAAATCTCTACCAATCATGCTCAAAAGTTCAGAAAAAGTACATTTTAATAGATGAGGCTTGGAAAGAGTAAGAAATTCAAGATTAATGCAAGAGTATGTTTATAATTAGTTAGTGTAAGCCACTTGGGGCTGCGGCATCCATTGATGTTGCGTTGGCACTACCAAAAAAAATAATAATAATGCTATGTAACTGTTTGATTTTTAATTCTTTAGAATATTGAGAAAATTGCAGCCATGATATCAAACGTTTCATTTAGGTACCGTTTGGTAGTTATTTTTTTCAAAATGTATTTTTTTTCTTCTTTTCAACCACACATTCTTTATTAAAATAATATTACGCGTAAATTAAAAACTTTTCCTTATTTTTCAACCACACATTTCACATCAATTTGCTATTCTAAAATGCATTTTTACGTAAAAATGACTATTAAACACTCCCTTAATAGTAGACTCTATCCAAACTTTTTACTTGTGTCATTGCTACCGCCACCCAATAAAGGAAGATGAGAGTGTGACCGTTTCTTTTCTTCAGATCTGAAAATTGAAACTGATTTTCAAATCAGATTTGAAAGTTTTGTGTCAACTCTGTTATTAAATGAAAGATTTAGTACCGTGATTGCAATTTTACCTAGAATATTTTTTGAGGCTCATTTTCTAGAATAAATCTTGTAAAAATGACTTTTTTTTGGAGAATTTGGTTGTTAAAAAGTTGGAAAAAATTGGTTTATGTGCAAGATTAACGAACTTGGAAAATCTCTCTAAGTGATGTGAGATAAAATGATAGGGTCAACTAAATGTGTGGATATGAGACACATTTTGTTGATCTTTTTTATTTAAAATCATCTCATATGAGATTGATCCCTAATTTGTATATGTATCATTACTTGTTAAAAAAAAATGTACAAGGATTACAAGTTGAATACGGCATATTAGTGTCCATTTGTGTGTAAATGAATGACTGTCATTGTCCCTCTAGGCCTCTAATAAACGCATAGATGGATAAGATAGCATATGTCATTACCATGTTGTATTATAGTGGAACCTACCTTGGACCGCATAGGCAATTCACAAAGCACAGAAAAGCAAAAATAGTCCGCAAAATATTAGGTAATTTGTGTTGAGGTAGGTATTTTCTTTCGAGCAGTGATAAACTCTTGGCCTGGTATAGTTTACACAATTTCCCTCCTTTTCTTTTGAATAATATTATTCATCATTACTTTTAATAATATTGATATAGGTCGCAGTAAGTCCCGTGATTAATTGTTCAATGCATTAAAATTATCGCAGCAATTTAGAGGATTATTGAGAGTGATGATCATAACTAATTGATGAATAGTATTATTCATTTTTTTAGTCAATCGTGTGATGGTTCGCCAGCACTCAACTTCTCAACTTTTAGTTCATGCCTCTAAGACATTCTAATGGTAGTGTGCCTTTAATATTCCAAAAATGTGATCAAATCTACTTCACACACCTCAGCCAAGTTTGAATTGGTTTCTTCTTTTGCTTTTGCAGTTGGTAAGTCCGGGGACATGGCTTTGTGATCTTACACTAGAACGGTATGAGGTGAGAGAGAAGAAAGTCTCCAAGAAGGTGATTATCTTTGCTTTGATTTATTAAAGCTTGTGCACATACGTTTCAAGTATATCTTAATTACACTTAATAGTCGAATTGCATTGTTATTTGGGTATGGAGATCAAATATTTTAGACATAAATTTTTTTCAGAGACCAAGAGGGTTAAGAGCAATGGGAAACATAGACTCGGACTCAGAATAAAATTGCTATTAGGAATCAGACAAGGATTTATGCGTGAAAGTGGAACCAAGTGGTAGAAAATGAGGACGAAATTCACGAACTCAAAGGCTGTGAGATACATCGTGTCACGATTTGTATTTGATTGACTAGCTCCCTCGAGTATAATGAAAGATGAAAAATTTTATTTAAATGTTTTTCACTTTTTATGAAATTATAATCTATTGTCTGGACTAATTTTTTATATCAGTTGTATTACATGTACATCAACACCTACATATTGGTGTACATATCCATCCTGTAGTGAGATATGGTTGGATCAGAATCCCGTCATTTAAATAAAAAAAAGTCTCCTCCACTTTTTTTTTTGGATACATCATTTGTTGATAAGTCATTATGTAAATGGTCATGTACAACAATCATTGTCTTTTTTGGTATATCCTTAAGTAATAACAAATATGCTAAAGAGAGGGAGGGGATAGGGTCAAGGTGGCGCGACATCGGCCCTCACGCAAGACCAATAACAAGCTCACGAAATGTGGCATTTGTGATGTCATTAAGTTGTGTGTTTTTTTCTACGAGGATGAACACTACTTTCCCGAAGCCAAAATAGGAGGCTACGTGCAATAAAGGTTAGAAGAAGAACGATTTAAAAGGTTTCAATAAATTCTTAATTGAAAATTTTATAAATATATGACAATTTGAAATAACAAGTCACATCCTGTATAAATATATGCATACTATTTTCTAGTTACTGATTCTTATTAAATAATTTTTTCAAAAAAAGATTTTATTTTATAAAATTTATAATTTTCTGTTCCTACACTCTAATATTAAATAATAGAAATAATGTTAATAAGTTAATAAAATATTGAGCAATTCAGAAAACATGCTTCATCAACTCTTCCAACATTGTAAAAACGGATAAAAATTCTCAATTACAATAAATAAAATTTAAAACAATCACTTAAAATAATTACATGAGTTGTTATTTTGTGGATAAAAGTCTTTTTCTTATTATTATTATTATTATTATTATTATTATTATTATTATTATTATTATTATTATTATTATTATTTTAGTTTGGGGTAATTTTGTAATTCAAAAAAATTTGTTGAGAACTCATGCATAGTTTTATTTGTATTTGCTATTGATTAACTTTTTTCTTCTCTGTGAGAAAGCTTCGTAGAAGATATGGATTTGTAAAACTGACAAATAAAATTAAATAATTGTGTAAAAAAAGATAATGAAAAAATAAAATCACGTATATGATACTCGACTTAATGTCAATTTATGGAGCATAAATAGGGAAAAAATTATTGTTTAGATGAAAATGAAATAGTAATTGATTTTTTAGGGAATAACATAGTTGTAACAAATTGTTACATAATGTAAAACAAATGATGTATTTCATTTTTCTTTTTTTAATTATGAATATTTTGGTCTATTTAACAATTTTTAATTACAAATTTGTTATTATTTTAAAGCTAAAGACAAAACTTGTTATTTTTTACAATATTGTAAATTTAGCCCATGTTTAAGTCATATTCTAGAAAAAAAAATAATTATTTATGTCAAATCAATGAGAAATGCGTGGTTAAAAAATAAGAAAAAGTTTTAGATTTGTATGTAATATTATTTTATTGAAAAATGTGTTGTTGAAATAATGTTAAATCACTATTAAAAAATATATATTTTTGAAAATAATGTGGCTCAAACAAACCATTAGTATGTAAAGTGTAAAATAGAAAAATATGATAGATAAAGTGTAATTATTTCCTATTGAGTTGTTTCAAAAATCACTGAACTTATACCATGGTCACAAACTACACACTAAACTTCATTGTGCTTCACAGTACTCACTGAACTTTACCATTTAGCCATGAGGGGTCAAGTTTTTGAGATTTTCCTCTCTCCTTTTTTTTCCTTTTTTTTTTTTTTGATAAAGTCATGTTTGGTATCGATTGAAATTTAAATTTTAATCTAAATCAAAGTTAATAATTGATTTTAATAACATATTTTATGTATTCCTTAACTTTTAAAATTTTATCAAAATTTACTAAAAATAGGACTTTAATCTCTACCAAATAGAGACAAAATCACAATAAATTTGAATTTTCTCTATTTTTTATTGCTCCATTGTATTCTCTCACTCAAGCCTTTTACCAAAATCTTAACTCTTCTAATTTTTTATAATTTGTTTATAATTTCTCTACAATTATTACATCTACCACAAATTTTCACTTTTCAATTAATTAGAACCTAAATTTGCATTTTCTCCTATCCTATTTGTGTATATAATACGTGTCTAAACTGATTATATAAAATTTAACTTATATCTAACGAATTGTGTTTATTTGACTGATTATTAGTATTGAATATTGGTTATTTATTTTTTCTTTTAATTATTTGAATTGATTGTTTGTATCAAATACACAATTTTTTAAAACATAAATATGCATTTCCTTTTGATGAGTAAAATATTTAAAAAAATATTGTTTAAATCAAATAGATGAAAATGGTTTGCAAAATATTAATGAAGAAATATTTTTGAAATGTGAATCTACATTTTTTCGGATCAAATATGAATCATTCAAAAATAAAAAAACAAAGTATTCGATTTGTACAAAATTTAAGTGTGCCCCCTAACTCAATTTCTCTGCATCCGCCCCTGCATTTAGCTCTCCATCCACCATCATCGAAAAATCCGTTTGTTGGTCGCCGACGTGGCAGACGGAATTCCTATGTGTCGTGTGACGGCAGGTAAATTTGAAATTATTGACTTTTTTACCCAGTTAACATAATCGTGGTTCTCAAAACACGATTTTGCCCTCAAAATATAAAAGAAAAAAAACGAAAAAAAAATTAAAAAACTTTCAGTCAGAAAACCCACTAGACTTTTTCCAAATCAAACCTCTCGCAAATCAATCGGTGAACTCCGCCTCTTCCAAGCATGGAGTGTCTCTTGCACGAACAGTTGAACCTACCACAGCTACATCTTGTGTTGACTCGTCGAATCTGCATTCTCCATAGACCACCATGTTTTTTCATCTATAGTCATTTCGTTGTTACAGCTTTGTGGTGGCAATGTCTCAAGTTTTTTGTGATAATGGGTTAAGAAGGTACTACTATTGTGGGCATCCGGTGCATTTGAGAACTTCTTGGATGGAGAGGAACCCCGGTCGAAGGTTTCTAGGTTGTCAATCATATGGTACGCGATATGCTTGCAATTTTTTCAACTGGGCCGACAATGCTCCAGATGATAGGTATAAGGTAGTCATAAATGGGTTGATTCGTTCAAAGAACAGGCTTGAAAAAGAAAACCAGAAATTCTGCAAATTAATGGAAGTGTACAAAATTGCATTTTCTGCCATTTTCCTCTTGGTCATAATCTAGCTAGTTGGTTGAAGTATTCATCTTACGTATTAACTTAGGTCGTTGTAATGTTAGTTGAATCTTATGCATTACAGTTGCTTGTAATTGTAGCTTTCAATTTGCGTAGTAGTATGTCTCTACAAGTGTTGTGAACATATATTAAGTTCTGTTGTAATCAACATGTGTTCGTGGAAGGATTGTTTGTTTATATAACTCAATGTGAAATTAATTATGTATGTAAAATAAACGACTTGAAGTAAAACGAAACAGAGGCTTTCATAAATATAGCAAAAATGCATATATTTGCAAAATCGAACTTGTTCATTTCAATAGTAGAAACATTCAAAACTAGAAAAGTAGCAGCAAGTGCAGTTTACAACATTATCCCAAAACAAACCATCTTTTTCCGATGTAATAAAACATATTTCCTTCAACAAAAACCACCATCTTGTCTAAAAGAGAGAACTCCTATGCAAGCACACAAACAGCATGGTAGTTGGAAAAGCAGTTCAGGTTCGGCGAGAAGTAGCAATCATCGTTTTTGCACTACGTCTGGAAGACATTCTAGCTGCCCTCGACTACGATGCTTCGGAGTCGTCCAATTCTTGAAAACTGTCCACCATTGCTTGCACAATGTATGGCCGCGAAGCTGATAAGTGTGTTTTTGCACACTTATTTACATCACAAACATGACTTAAATACAAGTAAAATGATTGAATTGTTACTTAACTTTGTCAAATTCATGCAATGTAGGAAATTCTATGGAAATAGTGGAATTCAGGAGAAAAGAGCCGAAAAAGGACCAAATTGGAGCAAAATGAAAATTCAGGGACCAAATTGCAATTATCTGAAAGTTGACCCGATGAACACATCAAGCAATTGATCAAGCCAAGCACCAATTGGAAGTTATAAGGGAACATTGGAGCAACTAGGAACAAGAGAGGAGGTCAAGGAGTGAAGGAATGAAACTTGAGGACCAAAATGACTCAAACTAGAAGTTAGCTCTACTATGCGGTCGCGAGTGAACCTCCAGGGATTAAAAATGCCATTTTTCTTATGCCTATGCGGTCACATAGGTTATCCCTATGCGGTCGCATATGTATAATTTTTCCCCGAATTTTGCAGTTTCCTTATATAATTGCAACTCCTTTGGTAACCTAATTTGGACGGGTTTAAATAGCAACAAAACATCCAGAAGCCGCACAAACGACTTGGGAGGCAAAAACATTCATCTTGGAGTGGATTTGAAGGCAAGAACAAGAATTGATGTGAGATTTACAAGATTTTTTCAAGTTTTGATAACCCGGTGATGTATTTTATTCGTACTTTGTTAGATTTCGTTATTTTTATCATGATAGGCTAGATTTTTGCAACTAGGTGATCGATGAACCATGTAATTATTATTAAACTTACTATTTCATGATTTTGAATTATTAGTTCGATGGGATATTTGAATGGATTATATTGGTTTATTTATTTCCACAATTAATGTGCACTTAATTTGTGTGAACTTGGTGGTTTAATTTTGAATTTGAGAAAATTAGATTAAACTCGACATATATAATTCATCATAGGGTCCGACAAGGGATAGAAATATACCCCTATGCCCTATGTAAATCTTTAATTGCTCACAAAAAGATTATATGCGTTCTTGTATAATTGCATCCGTCATAGAGATATAGGCTGATGATTTATGAGAATAGGTTCAATACATCTCGAGAGAGAGTATTGAATAGATTTAGGAGCATTGATTTATCAAATTCTTATTGAATTATCAAAATTGTGAAATTAGGGTTTAATTAGTAATTATTTGGGGATTCGTGATCCTAGTGCATTCGTTTTACATAGATTTTCATAAATTGACAATACATTTCATTTATTTTTCATAACATTTCGTAATTGAGTCATTCGTTAAGTGAAT